CTCTCTCTCTCTCTCTCTCTCTCTCTCTCTCTCTCTCTCTCTCTCTCTCTCTGGCTGTCGGTAATTCTCGAGGGACCCTTTAGGTATTCCCTCACTTACGCATTGCGGAGTCATCTCTCAGGAAGCACCCAGCGAGAGCTCCCGAGTGATAACTGCCTTGGGACCGAAGCAATGAGCAGAGCAAACCAGTTGCATTGTATTCCACCGTTAACGGCGGAATTTGCGAGCGAAGTCTCCAATGTGCGCGCGGATCTTTTCTTCGGTAAATGGAGTTTAATTAAAACTAGCGACGGCGCCGCGCGTCGCTCGCGTCCGTTACGCAAGGTAAGCTATTTATACGTTCCGCCCGCGATCGACTCGACAGGCGTCTCCGTTACTTCTTCATTTCTGCAGTATGTTGTAATAAGTGGAATAATGTGATTTTTCCTTTCCCGCGTTCAGAGAGTCGCGTATCGGATCTGCACGGAACGCCGCCGGTTGGAATTATGTCTCTGAGGGGAAGAAAGAGAGAGAGAGACGCGATATTCTTGAGCGATATCTACACAGAAAGAGAGAAATATCTGAGAAATAAGAAAATATTTATTCGACATTTATTCTATATATACACTCGTATATATTTTTGCACCGAGTTTTTTTTTTTTTTTTTTTTGAATAGCGGAATATGCATTTTTTACTGCAAGTGAATTTTAATTCTATCTATTCCATTTAATTGAAGGAATTTAGATTTGGATGAATATGTTAATATTCACCGTGCGAGTGCAATTGTTTTTTAATTTTTAAACATTTTCTCCATGTATCTGTTTATATCGTTACAGTCAGCTAACTCGTCAGTACTTGCCACTCGTCAGAAAAAAAAACGTCTTGTAAGTCATTCACTAATGACGAGCGACGAATATTTGCGAATTCAACTGAATGTAATGATACACATAAGTAATGATACACATAAGTAGATTGAGAAAAAAAATATCTAAAAAAGAGAAAATATCTGGAAAGGGGTGAATGTATATTAGATCCGCATTAATTACTGTTAATGTGGATTTGATTTTACTCTTAGATTCTGCTCAAAAATCAAAATATCAATCAGACTCTTCTCATTTAATGTTTGTGTAGCGCGTTGCTCCGCGAGATCAATCTTGAATCTTTCATTCAAATCCTATATCGTGTCAAAAATTAAAGCGAGCGCCACATACTCGGGAAGAGGAAAAATATGTTCGGAGAGAAATAGTTAAAATAAATCCGCGAATTAATTCTATTGGAGTAAAGGACACGACTATCTGTTTTGGTAATGCGGTCGAGTTTTGCAACGGCAAGTGGAGGGTGGTTGTCAGACAGTTGCAATTTATTCAGAAACTCTCACTACGGGATTTTCCGCGATACGGAAACGCGAAGTCCCTGTTGAAACGAAAGAACAACATGTAAAACAATCGTATGAATAATAAAATTGTCGTATTTCTGAACAGCGCCGCAGGAGAATGTCTTTCTTTTACTTCCCTTACTTATCTCACTCTTACTTCTCATTATGTCCTACTGACAAGTTCTTTGACCAATGTAGAGTCGAATTTTTCTGAATGAAAATGTCGAGACAGTGATAAATCGCGAATTACAACTATCTGAAGAAGAGCTCTTCGGGCAACCTAAATTTCAGAGAGTCGAAAAACGGAGAGACGGATAGCAAAGGTAAGTCCTGCAGCTAATTATCACACTTTTTACATATTGATAAAAATAAAACGACGTATGCAATATTTCAGAATGTTGAATACATTGTAATATTCTTTACATTCTTTAGGTACAAGAAAACAAATATAAACCATTATATTTATATTAATGCATAAAGAAAATATGTAGTAAGCAAGATCGGAAAAATGTGACATCCCACCTCATACCTTGAGTCAATTGTCATATTCTTCTATATGCACTGAGAGAAAAAATAGTTGGAATAACTATAATCTCACTATATTTTATAGTTCGTTTTGGCCTCAAACATATATTTATAGTTTATCTAAACATGAAGATATAGTAGAATGAACGCAGATTTATAGTCACCATCTTATTACTCTATATATATGGTAAAGCACCTTTTGGGAATATAGTTACATGTACCTATATTTGTCAAATATTTCAATTATATTGACTATATAAAATAGTTAATTTCTCTTACCATTAAATATTTGCTACCTTACTATATTTTTTATTTCAAATAATTATAATTCTTGGTAAAAATTTTACACGGGTCAGTTATACTATGCTAATATTGTAAATATTACAAATATTATGGTAACATTTACTATAAAAATTATATTCCTAACTATAATCTTTTTACTATGCCATTATAGTTCCAAATATCATATATTTTTCTTTCAGTGTGGAGAAAACACGACAAATAATTCCAGGCAGGAATTTGCTTTATCAAAATTTTAAATGAGGACTCAGTTGCGGAGATACAGAATGGTTAAAAATTTATCAATTGCAAAAACATACATTATTAATTAATTTACTAAATTAATTTTTATATTAATTCAACACCTATTTTGACGCCAAAAGTAAGTGAGAAGGGAAATTTCGGACATCATCAGAGTCAAAGTAGTAAATTATATTATTAGAATTAAACCTACTTTGTTAGCTTAGCTGCTATTGCGTTGTAGAATTCAAGGTTTAACATAGAACCAAAATTTCTCGGGATGTTATTAGTATCCCACCGAATAAATATCTTTTTTATCCCTTACATATTCCCCTTTCTCAGTGTGATATTGCAAATGTACGTCTCGCGATCGCACATTCTGCTAACTGGTGAATTACATCATTCCACCGGCTGTCGAAGAAACGCATGGCTCGTTGATACGTTAGAGCCAATTCCAGCTTCGGCAGTTAACACGTCGGCGTCCCGGAACTATTCCGTTTCCGCGCGCATTGCTTATAAAGCAAATACATATGTAATTCCGCGCCGGGGCCAAAAAGGTTCGCGAGCTATTACAGCGCGAGTAAACGGCCCCGACGTAAAATACAACGTGGTAGTCGTGGTAGATATAAATGCCCCACTTGCGGCTAACCCATCACTCGCCCCGTGACTGAGGGGGAGCCCCGAAAGCACCCGCGATGTTTTATGACTGATCCGACACTTATAATTCAGTACGGGCCTTAAATACATATCTGTCAAAATACAACAGAGTAACACGACCTGCGCAGGCCGGCCGGCAAATTGCGGTACAGCAGGCGAGCCAGGTGTGTGATTCCTCATAAAGAAATCAGATAACGGCTCTGACACAAGTGCGAAGCGCGGGTCGCCACGATCGGCGACGTGAGGAATATCATTAATCGATGTCGCCTCGCGCTCGAAATACCACGTCGCCTTCACTTTTGTCCTCTGTGTGTCAAAGTGTCCCAAACTCTCCTTGTCACATTAAGTGGGAATGTAGAACGGGTTGAGATGAATATAAAAGTCCTGTACCGTTTTGCAATATTCGTAATAATAACCGAGAAATTAATTGTAAAAGATTAAGGAAAAATACACGCTGAATGGTTGAGGGAAGAGCGCTTGCGACTCAGTAATATAGCAGGCAGATGTCAGTGCGCGTCTTATAGCCGTATAACCACCGTCTTATAACCAATGAGAAAAGCGGTAGTAGCCAGCAGCTTCTTTCTGACTGGTCAAGAGACATAATCGCAGCCGCAGTCGCGAGTCGTTAATGTGATACGGCTATTACATCGCTCTGATCCTATATCTTGCCGCCGAGGCGAGATGTAGGAGTGTAAGACCCGATCTACATTAGATGGAGTAAGGAGTAGGAGTAAGAGTAAGACGAAATGGAAGTAATTTATTTCGCTTACTCCAACTCCTTATCAGCTCTTACTACTTAATTCAGGCTTACTCCATGTGATGTATATGGAGCAAACTTTTATTGGAGTAAGGGAGTAAGCGAAATAATTATTTCCATTTCATCCTACTCCTACTCCTTACTCCATCTATTGTAGATCGGGCCTAAGTATAGGCAATGGTGCGTTTTTTCCAATCATCGCGCGCCGACATCCACTATATTATTAGGCTGTAAGCGCTCCATCCTCAACCATTTAGCATGCGTTTTTCCTTAATCTTCCCTTATAGAAATGTCATACTGATAAGTAATAATTTGGCCAGTGATAATTACTGTCGTTCAATAATTTTATTACTCGTACGAGTAATTTTATTAATAAAATTAATAAAATTATTGAACGACAGTAATTATCACTGGCCAAATTATTACTTATCAGTACATTTCTATAAGGGTTATACAATTAATTTCTCGGTTATTATTGCGAATATCGCAAAACGGTATAGGACTTTTACGTTCACCTCAACCCGTTCTACATTAATGTTCCACTTAATGTGATAAGGAGAGTTTGGGACACCCTGTATA